TCCTGGGCCCAGATCACCTCCTCCCAGCCAAAAGGGGCCAATTCAAAGCCCAGGAGGCCACTGTGGCCTTTGGGAGGTGGGTGCCACGGCTGCCAGGACCCCCAGAGCCCTTCTGGGCTATTTGGAGAGATTCCTGAAAAACGGCATGGCTTGAGATCTGGTGTGTGCCGGCACTCTGGGAAAAACACTGTTTCAATAAAGTGCTGCTGAGAGCAGCATCTCCAGCCAGGATGGGTGACCGAGGGCACCAGACCTCCCGCCCCGTCTCCAGTGGGATGGGGGTGACTGGCTGGGGAGGGTCCGAGGGCTGCTCTGGTTCCCAGTGTCTCTGTCAGCTGCCGAGTCAGGCACAACCGTGTCACCAGCCCACTCAGAGTTGGTGCTGGAAACGGGTGATTTTCCCAACATGGGGTGAACACTTTATTTAGCTCTTGGTGTGTCTCATCAGCTCTGGAGGAGCAGCTCAACCCCATGGGCAACATCTATACTCCAAAATACCCTTGTCCTGGAAGAAGCAGCTGCACGGCTCCCCTCCAACACACAAAAATCCTCCAGACTTCAGCAAGGAGGCATAAATCCAGCTCCAGACAGAGCAACAACATCCATCCTGGCCCTGTCCACTGCTTGGAGTGGTCTTGAATCCCAGATCTGTACATGGGACAGATTTTGGAGGTGGCTTTCATGGCTCAGGCAACCCCAAACCGGCTCAGGAATCTCCCTGCTCCCATCACTGCAGAGGGCTGCAGGGACAGTCCCTCCTGGTCACCCGAGGGGAGAAAAAGCCAATGAAGGTTCACAAGCCCTGATGCTGCACATCCCTGCAGGGCTGTTTGGTGCAAACCAGTCCCTTCCCCAGCCCCATGCCTGCTCCTTCAAGGTACCCTTAAAAGCCCCTTTCTTCTAGTCCCTTTTAACCCGAACTTCTGCTTTGCTTCTTTAATAGATGGGAAAGGGAAGAAGAACGCAGCCAGCAGTGAGCCAGGTACTTGCCACAAAACATCTCTCCAGCACCATATGCTGACTGCCTGTGGAGGTTGGGGCTCAGCACGAGGCAGCAAGCAGGGAGGGGAGCTGGGGTGAGACTCTGATAGTGGAAAGACCCCATAAAACATGTTTTCAAATGACCCCAGCTAACACTTTCTTAGTGGTGATGACCACAGCTGGGCAGGATCCCAGTCCCGGGACCCAGAAGTGCTGCGGGAACCAGGGTCGCATCTTTGGATGTGCAAGTAGACATGGCTGTGCCCAGGGCTCTGGGTCCCCTGCGACATTAGAGGTCAGGAGATAAGGTTTTGAGGAGAAAAGTGAAGCAAGAGTCCCTTGTAAGGGGCAAGAACCCCTGAGGGAGGCATGATGGAAAGCAACACGCTTTGGCACACGACAGCCACAGCTTAAGTCTCAAAAAAAGCCTCAGCCCAACAGCCCTAAAGAAAGTGATGGGGTTGGAAGGCAAACTGAAGGCACCACTCTCCAAACAGCCCTGCTGTCACCCTTACACCTCACACTGGCAGAGCCCTGGAGCCACCAGCACCTCTGTGTCTTCCTGGCTTACCCCAGACTCCCATAACTGCACCCAACAACATTGCTCATCGCTCCAGCCTGGCTTTGTCCCCGGAGCTGTGCAGCACCAGCCCATATCGATTCGGGTGAGGCAGCGCCGGACTCGCGTGGCAGCTGCTGTGTATTTACACAGTGATTACGAGCCCTGCGAGGGGGAGAGGCAAATAACGTCCCTGGGGCTCCCCTTCCCAGGGCTGGGGGGGGCTGCACACAAGCTAAACACCTCCTGCCACCAGCAAGGGCTCACTGGGCACAATGTCCATTGCACAGTCACAACCCAGGGTACCCTCAACCTCATTCAATAGCTTCTCATTGCCAACGCTTAACGGGACCTGTTGCAGGCGGTGATATTCTGCAGGGCCTTTGCAGAGGGTCGAGATGACCTAGGAAATAATTAATTGCCTTGCTGAGCCAGAGCAGAGATGCTCAGAGAAGCCACGCACACAGTGCATGCTTCATGGCATTGGGGCAGATTCAGATCCAAGTCGAAGCTTTTGTCTGAAACCTTGGATTTTATTTATGAAGTCTCAGCTTCCATAAGAAGAAAAGAGCATATTACTCTACGAGAGACATAAGCAGCCCTGAGCGGGGAATGACACTGAGGAAAACACAGCTGATATCAAGGTAACTGCTTTGGTTTATCAAGGTTCCTGTCTCCTCCACTCTGAGCTGCTCCAAGATGTAAATCAAGTGCAAAAGCCACCCTTGGCTCACCAGGCTTCTCCGCAGCCCTCTGCCCACATGCCTGAAGCACTCGCCGCCGCTCCCGGCGTCTGGAAATAAACAGCCTGTTCCAGCACCGCTTGGTATTTCAAGAAAGGTTAACGCAGCATGTGAGGGGCCAGAGCCACCGCTCACAGGGGCTGGAAAGCCTCCAGGCCAACCTGCCAGAGGACCAGGGCTCCCTGTGTAGGAGGTGACCTCCTCAGCCCCCCCAAAGAGTTTGTTGCAAGCTTCGATATTTTCAGGCTTTGCACTGCTAAGGCTTCGTTCTCCCACCCCCACGTTTCCCCACCAGCATTCCCACCTCTGAAAAATCAACAGGAATTTCAAGCGGAGAGGGAAGCCAGGAGGTCTGTGTTTGCTGGGCAAGCTGGGAGTTTTCCCCCCTGCTTTGGGGCTCTTGCTGAAGGCGATAGAAAAATCACCCCAATTTTCCAGCACCCCATGAATGGGGAGTTGCTGTTGGCCCTGGTGCAAGTCCCAGGGGAACACAGCAGCAAAGCGACTGCCCATGGACCGGTCCCATCATTCACTCCATAAATACGCACACACTGGGGCTGGATTTGCAAACCAGGCTGCTAGGATGGACAGAAAAAAGCTTGGAAATGCTTTACCTGAGCTAGTGGTGAAAACGGAGCAAAGCTTAGAAACTCATATCCAGGGATGACCAATTAGCAAGGGAAAAAAGGGAGGGCACAAAAGCACTGGGATATTCATGATTAAACCAGAGCTTAAGCTCTCCTCACACCCAAAACAAGCCACCTACCCTTCTGCTGGAGAGAAGAGCTGGGGGACATTGGCAGCAGCATCACCATAGGCAGTAAAGAACTTCTCCACCCAACTGCACCTCACTTAACCCCTTCCCTCTCTGATGAGCTGCAGCAGTCCCTCCAGGTGCCAGCTAAAATGATTTTAAAGCCTCTGGCCAGCCTGGCTGGGCCTGGAAAGGCTGATCCATATTCCTGAGGTCTCATTGGTATTCTGCAGCCTCAGCTCATTAGCACTTAGGTGCTACGAGAGCAGGAGCGTTGGAAGTTTCAGAGTGAGACAGCGATTAGGGGAGGATTGAACACATCTTGCACAACCCAATGGCCTGCATGAACTCTCTAATTTACACTATTGATCTAGAAGGTGCCCACGGGCCACCTGAACCAAAAAAAACCCCGCCCTAGATACAGTCTCAGCCACTTTCAGAAAAAGAAGAAAAATTAAGCTAAATAAGTAACCCACAGCCCCAGAAAACTGGCTGCATCATCACACCCCCTGCTAATGCTATTAGCCAGCCCTCCTCCGCAAGAAGCTCTTCAGGAACGGCGTGAGCTCCAGCTCAGCAGCTCCTGGAGAGACCCACCAGCCCACCAAAGGGCCAGTATGACCAGCACAGACACCCACGGCTGTATTGGGAGAGCACATTCGGGGGTCTGCTCTCTTAGAGAGACTTCTCCCAACACATGCTGCTCGGCAAAGGGCGGGTGAAAGCTGTCGGCCCTTAAATTCAGGAGGACTGAGCTGCTGCAGGTCTGATGGTCCTGGTGTCCTCTCCCAGTGTTGGGTGTGCTGAGTCTTCCCTTCTCTGCAGCAAGACCTGTGTCCTCCTTGCCCAGGTTTGGGCACAGCCTGTTTGCACCTCGTGATAGACCCATGGGGAAGTCACCGCGCAGAAATAATCTTTTTGCGCTGTACTTGAGACAAATGGGGGGGGGGGGGGGGGGGGGGGGGGGGGGGGGGGGGAGGGGAGTGTAGAAAAAACACCATTTCTCCTAATAAGGGAACTCAAAGTGATGAATTTTCCACTTCTCCTGAAGTTCTTTCCTCAGAGGCACTGATGCATTTTTAATGGGTCTCGATGGTAATTAAGCTGATAATTGAAACAGAGAGCCCTCCAGCTCGACCCCAGCCCCACGGCAGGATGGGCTCCCTCCGAGTGTGTTCCCCATGGATGGACTGGGGGGTTTTCCTGAGGTCCCTGCTCACCCACAGCATCACTGACACCCCTTGGTTCCATCTTCGGGCAGAGCACGGCCACCGAATTCCCGGTGCTTGAGGGACCCCATGTCCCCAGCCTGCTCCTGGCTGGCGGGCTGACAGGGAAAATAGTTGGGGAGGGAGCCATCAGTCTTCTCCTTGCCCCATTGTATGGGTGTGTGTGTGTGTGTGTGTGTGTGAAATAACACCCCCTCTACTAAACCTGCAGCTCCACCGCCCGTAGGGATGATGCCCAGGCAATGCCCCCCCCACCCTAATCCCGGCCACGTACCCCCGAGGGTGCTGGGGAGGTGGGGGGGGGACACGAACACTCCCTCCGCGGGTTGGGGGGTGCGTGGGGAGAAGGTGAACCCCGCCGGGTCCCACCGCTGGCAGAGGCGCATCCCCCGGGCGCTGCTTCCCTCTCGCGGCCGTGGGCAGCCCCTGCCGCCCCCGGGACCCCCCCACGCCGGGGGGGGGGGGGGGGCACCCCACTCCCCTCCTGCCCCGAGCAGCCAGACCCCAGCATCTCGAGAGGCACCCCCCTGCCCACCGTCATTTGGGGGGGGGGGGGGGGGGGGGTGCTCCTGGGGGTCCTCGTTCGTATAACCCACCCCCACCCCCAAGTTAGGACCAGCGTTAGCCCACGGTGCAAGAAAAAAGCCCACGGGTGGCAGGAGCCCTACCGGGAGGAGGGCCCAGAAGGCTGAACTGATGCTCAAAGAGCAACAAAAGAGGCGACAAGAAGCAGGTTGGAGGGTGAATTTTATTGAAAACAACGTCTGGGTTTAGACATGAGTACAGACCGTTCTCAAAAATACAAGGCGAGAGGGGCTTCCGATGCAAACCAAAATCCTTGTCGAGCGTAAAGCCAAGCTGGATCCCCCCCAGGGCTGCTGCTGTGTCCCCCCTCCCACGACAGCAGAGGGGACGCAGCAGGACAGAAACTGTGGGAAGTGGGGACAGGTAAGACCCACGTTGAATGAAGCAGATGGCACACGGCTGTGGAGTATTTGCCCCTTCAGCAGAGCCCTGCTTCATCCCCAGGGGCCCAAACGCACCCCAGAGGCATCTCCCCCGTGTTTGAAAGGGCAGATGCTCCCTTTCCCCAAAATAAAGGAATCGGGATTTTCTCCAGGAGAAATTCAGAAAAAAAAAAAAAAAAAAGGCAAAACAAAACATGCAAAAAAAAAAAAAATCACCATTCCCCAAAGCCCCAAAAAGGGTGATATAAAGAAAGGGGAAAGGGGTCAAAACAAGGAGAGAAGGGGAAAACACAAAAGCTCAACATCAAAACAAAAAACAATCCAAAGTAACCAACTATGAAAACAAACAAACAAAAAAAAAAATACAATTGTACATCTCAGCTGCAAAGTGTCAAACCAAGCGGGTGAGGGTGCGGGTGCTCCCGGAGAGCATCGGGTGGTTTGCAGAGTGGGACCGAGGAGAGAGACGTGCAGAACATCCATCACTTTCTTATTTTATATAAAGAGGTGAGGTGGGGGGTCAGGGCTGAACCAAAGCCGAACAGGGTTTGTCCTGCTCAGCCTGGGCTGGTTCTCCCAGGGTTTGTCGTCTCAGAGAAAGGGATCAGAGGGGGGAAAAGAGCTGCTGGGTGATGCCCCAGCACTGGGGCAAGGAGGGCTGAAAACCATTTGCCCTGAAGCAGCTTCCAGGAATAAGCTGGTGTCAAACAGCCCCAAGACCAGGCAGAGGGACCCCAGCACCACTTCAAACCCTGGGCTGCAGGAGCGGGGAGCAATGAATTTAAGGGGACATCATTCTGCATTGGGTGGGGGACCCCGAATGCTGGCAATGCACCCTGAAATCCAGACCTCCAGGGCATGAATTTCAGGAAAAATATTTTTTAAAGACTCAGTTAAAAAATAGATGCCCTTTTTTTTTTAAAAAAAAAAAAAAAAAAAAGTCTCTTAAACCACAGCGTTTTCTAGTGACCCCGTCCCCACCACCCCAAATTAAGCCAGAAAAATGCTAGCCATTTCACCAAATCTGCTGGCTGCATAGACATTCACGCATTCATCATTGATTTAAAAATATATAATATATATATGTATATTGCGCACACACATACACACACACAAATATATATTAGAAAAGAAAAAAAAAAATCCCTCTGAAAACTCAATCTATTAAAAAAAACAACAAAATCCACAGCCGGTGCGTTTATCCTGTGATCATATACAGTAGAAGACAGAAATCCCTTTTGCTCCCGTAGCACCTTGCAGAGTGCTCAGGCTGGGAGAGTGGGGAAACACATCAGGTTTTCACAGTGGATTTGTTAGCGGAGAAGGAACTGCTCCTCCCTCCTCCCACACAGAAGGGCTTTAATTTATAGCAAGTTAGATTAAAACTAGGAAACATGTTACAAAGTCCATTATATATAGACATAAAATGTACAACTGTCGGCAGCCCCCAGGCGAGTCACTGGGGTTTCGATCTCGGCTGACACCTCGGCGGGCAGCTGGAGGGTTTGAAGGCAGTTTGGGACACGAAGGGTGCAAGCAGAGCCTCCAAACCGAGCGGGTGTCACAGTGTGAGGTCTTACATGAGCTCCAGGTTGGAAGGGAGATGGAGCATCATCTTCTCCAGGAGCCAGGGAAGGCAGAGGCAGGGGCTGCGAAAGGCGTGAGATGCCCGGAGCGGGGATGTGTCCTCCCAGCCCGGGGCTGGAGAGGCAAGAAGCAGAGCCCGGGGACCTGCTTGTCCCTCCATCACCTTGTGCCCACGTGAAGGGAGCGCTGTGTGCTGGATGAAGTCCCGTGGGCAGGCGCTGGGACAGCGTGGGTCGCGGCTTGTGTCAAGGTGGGCTCATCGAAAAAGGTTTGGGGCTTTTTTTCCCCCGCCCCCTCTCAAGGGAGTGCTGTATCAATTGAGGGAGGGGAACGCCCAGTCTGGTGCTGCCTCAAAGGGTCATTAAGATGTCAGAGCCAGGCATTAAAACAGCCTCTGGTGTGAACAGCAGCATACACAGGGAACCCCACATCCCCCTAAAAAGCTGCGTAGGCTCCTGGGGGCAGAGAGCCAGGCACAAAGGGAAGGCGAGCGACACCAGACTCTGGGGAAGGGGCTTTGGGCAGGCAGGGGAGAAGAGTGGGGCAAGCACAGCAGCAGCATTTTTTTTCTCTCTGCCTTCCCCAGGAAGCAAAGAAACACAAACCCCCTGCGCTGTGTACCAGGGTGCTGGGGAGGGGAGATGTCCTCTGGCAGCCTCTGCCCCGGCCCCGCTCAGGCACGGTCCTCTCCCCGCGAGGGATATGCTGGCATCAGCAGGGAACTCCAGAGCCTTCAGTCTCCGTGGCTTAGTTGGAAAGGTGTTGGCTTCAAAAGGCTCGTTCTGGGGGATTTTCTTTACAGGGCAAAGAGAAAAGAGATTGCAAGGCCGGATGGGGCCAGAGATGCCCACAGATTGGGGAAGCGCGATTTGTGCAAACCACCATTAACTCGAGTCCTCATTTGCTCTTCTGCGGGGAAGCCAGGATGGAGGGGACTGCACGAAGCCATGAGGTTTGAGTTAAGAGTCTTCCCCGAGGATCTCTGTCACGAAGGAGGCCATGTCAGTCTCTTTGGTGTCGTGCAAGGTAAAGAAAGGGTGTTCCTGCCAACAAGGTGAAAGAATATCATCAGCTGACACCCAAGGACAGGTAAAGCCCAAGAGCAGTCCCTGGGGGATGTCACGCAGCTGGCAAGGTGCTGGGGGAGAGGTGGACACCAACCTCCTCCCCAGGCTCCCAGGGACGCCATCCTTTAGCTTAAAGATTAACTCTTTCAGGTTTGGCGTTCCTAGGTTCAACCCCCGTGGGACAGCCCACCTTGGCAGCTCTACTATCATCGTTTGAAGTCTAAACTCACCAAGAGGAGATAGGACACAGGGAGAAAACACCTAGAAACCCTGACCTTAACACCCATGAAATCAACCCACGCTTCCACCTTAGACATGCTACACCCATCCTGCTCTGTGCCTGAAAAATCACCCGCACATCCTGTTGTCCCATTTCCCTAGGACCTGTGAGACCATTCATTTGACTTTCGAAATACGCTGGGATAAAGAGGAGTAGAAATGGCTCCACACTTACCATAAGTTCTAAATAGTTCATTCGCTCAGCAGGGTTCTTCCTTAAGCTGGAATAAAAAAAAAAAAAAAAAAAAAAAAAAAAAAAAAAAAAAAAAAAGGAGAGAAATGGGAGAGAAAGGATGTAGTATCTTTCTCTTTTGCTGCATGTGGTCTGTCACAGGGGATCCCCCTTTCCCAACCAACATGACACCCTTCTTGTGAGCAGCACTCATTCCTCTCTGTCCTTGGCCAGGCAGGTTTGAACCACCAGCAAAGCAGCCAGGCAGGTAACTGGGAAAGGGCAACTCAGTGTTTTGCCACGAAAGGCACAAGCCAAGCAGCTCGCTGCAGTCTGCCCTACACAGTCTTGCTTGTCTGCACAGCCCAGAACAAAAGGGGAGGAGAGGAGATGGTTTCCCACCACCCATAAGGCGAGCCTTGCCTTGGTGGGCTCACCTCTGCCCGGCAGCTCCAAGCAGCACACAGGGAGCAGAGAACACCCCGAGGGGAGCAGTTACCCACAAAACCACAAATCAGCTTTCACCCAGAGACACAGAGGCACTGCCAGGGGTTCGTTCTTGTTTCATTGCCGCTTTGCCAGAAACCACCAAAATTTCAGCAGCAGCCATGGCAAAAGGAGAAGAGAAACCTTCACACCTTCCAACCAGCCCGGGTGAGTCAGGCCGAGAGCAAAACCAGTTCGGGCAGCGCTTCCTGCCATGGCTACGCACCCACCTCGGTGGGGTGAGGAGAGATGGGCTCCCAAGTGATGGCAAACCCAGCGCCACACTTTGCTCCAACCCCCGTGGATAAGGGCTCCTCTTCAGCCAGGCTGGGAGAAGCCACCAGTCCCTGTCAGAGACTCACCACTGCGCCGTGAAGTCCACAAAGTCCTTGGAGAAGCGGTCGGCGGGCAGCTGGGGCGAGGGCTCCTCCACCACTTGCTTGAGCTGTTGGAAGGGGGTCCCCCAGGACTCGTATGGGAAGCGGAGAATGGCCAGTTCGATCTGAGGATGGAGACAGGCTGACATGAGACACGGCGACAAGCATGACCCCAACACAGCCTGCCTACCTCAGCCAGCTCGGATTCAAAGTGAAAAACCTCTTTCCTTACATACCATTTTCAATTTGGGTCATACCACTTTTTCTCTCTCTCTTTTTTTTTTTTTTTTTAAATACAAAGACCCAGAGGCCAAAAATACTTCCTTTTGAGGTTGGCTCAGCATATTAATGCATTTACAGAAAGCCACCAAAGATATGTAAAATGGGATTATTTAAAAAGATAATAATAACAGCACACCATTTCTGCACTGGCTTCCAAAGTGCTTTGCTCGCCATAAGGCAGCCTCTGGGCTTCAGGCTAGTACTGTATGAGCTTGACTCAAAAAACCAAAAATCCACAAACCCAAGAAAAATCCAAGTGTTAGAACATCACTTATGAAGATCTTTGCCAAAACCACCTTGACTACTGGGTCCTTCCTACAAGTCACCTCTGCTCCATCACGCATTCAGGCAGGGAAAAGCCCATCACAGCTCCTGGGCAGTCTCCTCATGCCAACGGTCAGCTCCCATCTCAAAATGGGCAACACAACCCTTCAGACCTGCCTGGCAGGGTGGGACAGGATGAGAGGAATAAAAAACCTAAAAGGAAGCAGAGCAGAGCCAGATACCCCCCACCTGCCTCTGGCTCAGGTCAGGGGAGCTCGAGCTCCTGCTGCTGGAAAACTGAATGAAGCCACCAGCCCAGAAAGGCCTGGATTAGCCCTGCAACTCAATGGCCCTAAAACCAGCCAGTCTGAAATCAATCAAACCCCTTCAGAAATAAAAAAAAAAAAAAAAACAGGAAGCCAGCCCAGGAAGGCAACATTAGAGGGAATCAGACAGGTCAGGGCTCTGTTCAGCTGCAGGCTGGCAGGCTTTCAGCAAGGTCCCCTCTCCAGCTTTGGAAAGGTTCAGAGATTTCGTCATTCATGCAGTCTCCCATCCCACAGCTTCCTGCATCTTGGGAAGAAAGCTGGAGCTGTTTACATTTCCAGCCAGACAGCCCAGCTCTGCTCTGAACTGGCTCAGGAACACCAAGGAGAGGGGCTTGGGTTTGGCACTGCGGACAAGACTGGTTGGGAAAGAGGGACTATTTACCAAAAGATCGGTGCAGCACACACAAACACAGGGATGCAGTGCCCAAAACAAGGGGCACGGATAACAGGGCGCAGGAAAAATTCCTGAAAATAATCTACCCACAGAGAGATAGTCTCCTGAAAAGCGAGAGACGTTCCCGGGCGGCATCCCCTTCGAGCCAACAGCTGGGATTTCCTTTCTCCTCTGGCGCCAGAAGATTTCAGCTGCTTTCTGCAAGATCCGTTTCTTGCAGGAGGTAGATAAACCATCCTGAGCAGCTGCAATTTTGGAACTGAAAGTATTTCCCCTTCCTGTTGGCTGCTCTGAGCTACCCTGCAGGCAGGACTTGCTGCAAACCATGCACAGCATCCCTCGCTGCAGCAGGGCGGGCTAACTCGCCCCAATACTCCTGAGAGGTTTTGCTAACACGGGAGTGGGGTGCATGCAGGAAAGTTGTGACCCCGCTGCAGCAAAACCCGTTCCACTGATTACATCTCCGGCCAGCACATGGGGAACTGCAGAGCAATTAAAAGCCAGACTCTTAGATGCCCAACTAAACCCACTGTCATCCAGATATTGCCCCCTGGGAGTCTGCCATCCACACCAACACAGTTCAGAGCTAACTGGAGCTATTTGGAGCTGGAATTGTACACAAGTAGCTCTGTGAAACCAAGTGGAGGGGTACAAGGGGAACCACGTGGGAATAACAGGCCTTTATGCATCCCCCAGAATCCTGGAGGAACATGCAACAAGGGAGTGGAGGAAAGAGAAGGGGCAGAAAATGGATTATCTCCTGGCGAGCTTGCCAGCCAATGTGGCAAGAGCCACAGCAGTGATGGCAACACTGGCTGCACACCCCAGCTCACAGCTACCTGCCCTGGGGTGAGGTACCCCTGTGTGCACAGGGCAGCACCTCCACCCTGTGCCCTGGGTGATTCATCTCCCACCCTGAGCTATCTCACTCAGAATTTAGTCCCGTTCAGTGGGCATCCACCCAGGGGTGAAGCCACCAGCTGCCACTGCTCACGGCAGGGGTAGAGCCCCACCAGCACAGACCCCATCCCAACCCCAGGGCTGCAGGGCGCTGGTCCCAGCCCTTGGCATTACCATTGTGATCCCCAGACTCCAGACATCCGACTTCACGTTGTAGCCCTTCTGGTTCAGCTCAGGGTTTATTCTTTCCGGCTGTAAAAGCAAAACAGAAGATATTACAACTCTATTTCATTTTCCCAGTGCACACACCACAAAGGACATTTATGGCTCTAAAACCCAGGTTGGGTGGATTTCCCTGGCTCATGTCCCCACGGAGGCAGGGTCTGAGGTTCAATCTAGCGCTGATGAAAGCCACGTCTTGCTCCACACAACCCATATAAACCCTCCCCTCCAGCTCCTGAGTGAGACTTGTACTATCCCTGCAGCATGACCCCTGCCCCAGGAGCACAAGCTACCCACACAGATGCCACAGATGGCAAAAAGGGAAATTCATATTGTGTTGAGGATGAAATTAAATGATCCTGCCAAAAAAAACCCTCAGCATTTCCTAACCAACAAGGAGCAGCCACAATCAGCACCAGCCAGTCTTTTACCCTTCTGCAAATGGAAGGTGTCAGAGGAAGAGTCTGCTGCGGGATTAACATACACAGCAGGGTTTACAGGGAGGGTAATCCCATCCTTGGAGGACTCTGCTGAGTCAGGAAGCCCAGAGCACTCTGAAGTGGTTTCTGTCTCAGGACAGAGCTGAACCAAGACTGATTTCTAAGCAGCAGCCCCTTCGAGTCAAGGCTGAAGGCAGCTGAAGGCTGCCAGCCCCGGTCCCACACAAGCACGCTTACAGCCATGTAAGGTTTGCAGCCAGCATCCATGGTCTTCGCAACCGAGTCCACCAAGTAGCCACTGATCCCAAAGTCGCACATTTTCACGTGTCCCTCCTTGTTGATCAGCACATTGGAAGGTTTCACGTCTAAGAGAGAGAACAAGAGAGGCAGATTGGGCCTTTGCAGAGGTATCACAGAGGCTGAGAGAAGATGGACAACTCCCCACCAACCTGGGAGGGGACCAGGTAGGCCCCAACACAAGGGAAAGGAGACAAAACCCCATCAGTGTTCTATTTCAACAAAAGTTGTTCACAGGGAAAACTATAACCATGCCCTTCAGCCAGAACAGGCCTCCTCTTTAATGAGGAAGGTCAAAAGGTGGCTGGCAAATTAATGCCCAGCTCCTAAGGAGAGGTTTATGCACCCAACACAGCCTTAAAAGCCCAACTCTACCAAGTTCTCAGGACAGCTTGTCTCATGCTCATCAAGATCTGTCCACAACTACACAAGGAACTATACTAGGAGGAAGAGCAGGACCTGGGTGTTACAATTCCCAACTGTGATTTGCTGAGATCTCCTTCAGCCCTCACCTGGCTAGAACTACTCAGCCAGGAAGGCTTGGGGATTTTGTCCCCAAGAGCTGCCTTCAAGGCATATATAGGCCCATAAAATACAGGTAATGAGGTATTTAATTATATTCAACCCTTCAACTGGAAAGGAGGAAGAGAACAACATCACGCAAGCAGATACACGAGGGATAGATCTCAGGCAGAAGCTTTGGGCGTCTAGATCTGTCCGACACAACACACACCTCCTGGAAAGGAGTCCTCACATAACTTATTTCAAGACTAGATCTTCAGCCACAGCATGCTAACCTCATCCGGCACTTACCTCTATGGATTACAGATAGTTTACTGTGCAGATGCTCCAGAGCTCGTACAATCTGGGGACAAACAGAGTGAAAGAGTACCCATTAGTCGCACAGAGCACTAGCCTTTCACTGCAAACACACCCCCCATTTCCACATGCCATGGGCCTCAGAGACCTCCAACAGGCTCAGGGGATGCACAAAACCAGGTAAGAACCCAAGAGGCACTCACAGACACAGCCATTTTCCCCAAAATGTCTTCAGGGATGGTTTTCTTCTTCTCCAGTACTTTCTTGTAGAATTTATCTAGGGAGGTGTCCATAAGCTCCATGCAGATCCACACATCACCCTGTGGACAGAGAGAAAGCAGTTGAGAGGAAATTCCCTGGAAATCCCTGGGAGCTGAAGGGAGTGGTGGGGACAGATGGACAAATGGACACTGCCACTTCCACACAGGGCAGGCCTAGGTCTCTGCCACGCAGCCACCGTTGGCCACACCACCAGCAACACAGGCTCCACACTAGATAGTGATGGGCACAGATGTCCAGGTACCACCGAAACTACCTGCGATGGCCTCCCTTGAGGGTCCACCCCGAAGTCAGTCCGGGACATGGACAACGTGCTTGGGTATCTACCATGGAAGTGAGGAACAGGACCTGGTCAACGCTGCCTGAAGGAGGCAAGCCTTTGACTTTAAGTCATGGTAGCATCTCAAACATCCCAGCTGGGTTGAGGAAAGCAGAGGTGGTTTGGCACAGTTTAGTGCCTTCAGTGCAATCACACGAGCCCCAGGTTCTGTGTAGCCCACTAGCCATCCACCGGCTCGGTACCTCACGGAAGAGGGCTCCATAGAAGGTGACGGTGTAAAAGCAGTCGACTGTCCTCATGGAGATGTCCAAGTCCATCAATAACCTCTTCTGCTCCTGAGTGTTCACAGTCGCTCGAATCCTCTGAGACAAATAAGCAGAGGGGTTTGATGTAGGTGAGATAACACCACTATTCCTCAATCTGACTCAGAGGCTCTGCAGTTCTGAGGCCAGGACAAGCATTTTATGTTTATTTTGCAGCCACCAACACCCAGGAGATGCTCAGATTCCCTCCTCCAGACAGCAACTTACTGAATGACAAGCCCTTGGCAAGCTCTGCAGCGGATGCAGGATCAGGCCAGCAGCCTGGACAGGCACTCTGACATCCAAACCTTGCACTATGTAACTGCAGGCACCATGCCTGGATTTCAAACCCTGCTGATCAATCCCACAGTGCCCACCCAGCATCAGCACAGACCCTTCAACACCCGAACCACGCCAGGAATACCGGAGGCTGCCAAACCAAAACAAGCCTGTCCCCATTTTGCCGTGGCCACTGGACCTCAGCAGGGCCTCTCTGCTCCCTTGGAGCTGCACATCCTGACCTCCATCCCCTTCACCAAGCAGCTATCCTCACCTTCACAGCCATGATGGTGCCACTCTGTGCATGCCGGACTTTCTCCACCACGCCATAAGCTCCGCGGCCCAGCTCCGAAATAGCCACCAGGTCATCAGCTTCCACCTCGAAGTTCTTTAGGGAGAGAAACAAAATAATCAGATACAAGCACATTTAACAAGGACATCAGCATAGGTCCGATGCTTGCGGTGCACTCACGCAGAGCATTTCCAAACGACGGTACCTACAGGACTCCAAAGGCACCACACTTAGAGAAGATAAGTATATTTTTTGCTCTGTTGAACCAGAGCCCAAACCCTCTCACCCCATACTCACCAGGGCTCATTTAATTCCCCCTCTGCAGCTAGAGATCAGGACTTTCATCCTTTAAGCCAGGGCATGCTGCCACTGGAAAGGGCACCAAAGGCTGGTGCCTCTCTGCCTGCTCGGGATTACCCACACAAAGGTATTTCTGCGGTTACTGAACTACTTGCAGGATTTTAACAGCTGCTGTGCCAACACGGGCAGCAGTCAGGAACTTCTGCCACAGCTCCAAATCCCCGTGAGCATCCGGGGATCCCCCACCTCGCCCTGCATCCCAAGAGATCATCAGTCACAAACACACCTACGTGTCTGAATACAGCTCCGCCTGTAAAAAGCCTCTCTTAGATGGGATGGTGCACGCAGAAACCCAGCAACTTCATTCCTAATTATCAGGGAGTTCAAATACTTTCAAATGCTTTCAATATTTTCAAAGGCTTTCAATACTTTCTCCCACCATCAGAAAGCAGCCAGCAAGGTAAAACGTAAGTTAACACCAACAAAGAAGCTTAGGAGAGAACAACTACCTAAGTCTCACTTCAAGCTGGAAAAAACCCATTGCCAGTGCTCAGACAAGCAAATGCCCCATGCAACAGGGAGCCAGCGAGCTCCTGTGCAACCCATGAACAAGTCTCCCTAAAGACGCATTACCTTGTAATTGCCTGCTCTTCTGCGCAGGGCCCAAACGGAGTGAGACATGGGCTATTTCTGGACGCTGTGTTCATCGCTCCTAATAAGTCACAGGCCTTCTTTTAGCCAGGCTTTATCCAGCCTCCAGTTTTCCTCTGGTCTCAGGGAACAAAAATAATACCAGGATGCCAAATTGCCCCAGTAGCCACAAAGGCAGCGAGGGTGGGAAACATGCACGGCACAGCGCCGGATACCGTGCCTGTGAGCTACGCCCCGAGCGGAGAGGAAATAGCCTTTGGCGTTAAGGAGCCAAGCTGGGATGTGCGGCTGCTGGGCTCCTGGCCAGCAAGCTTCCCTTGGCACTGGCCACGGCACGGCCAGCAGCGACCAGCTCCACCGGACCTTCCCGCCAGCCCCGGCTCTGTTTATTCGAGCCAGATGTGGCTGGCAGGCGGCCGAGGCAGGGAGCAAGGGAGGTCTGTGCTTGAGCTCAGCACTGAGCTATGCACTGCCCAGCACAGGAAGGTGCCGGCCCTTTCCTGGGCAGGACAGTGGATCCAGAAATGAGGCGAGCAGGGCTAAGGGGGGGACGTGTCCAACGCCTCACCCCAGGCAGCTGGCAGAGGAGCAGTGCAGGCTCGCAGCTCCTGCTGGGGCCTCCAGGAAGGATCTGGTGGTGCTTTTCAGGACACGTGTTCTGCAGTTGTTCCAGGTTATTGTTTTGGGTTTTTTTTTTTTTCCTGGCATTTACCCTAAGGCTTCCCCAGAAGCTGGCAGTTCCCAGCACACTCCAGGAACCAGCATCGCCCTGCCCAGCAACAAGAAGAGATGCACCAACAGAGCCGGCGCTCCCCTCCCCTGGTAATGGGACACATGGCATCGCCTGCACAGATCCGAAGGATCCACCCCCATGACCTAAAGCTGGCCTTCAGCCCAAGCCCTCTTCCTCCATCATGTCACGCCAACACACCTGGTTCAGACCCCTCCTGAAAACACTGGAGCAGACAGAGCAGGGAAGGAAGCAGGTCTAGAGAGCTTTCCTCAAGCTACACCACTCTCCCCTTGCACACACCATGCCCAGGCTGTTACAGAGAGCATCTCTGCCCAAGCTATTAATACACATGACAGTGGTCAGAAAAAGGCAGCAGGATTGTTCCCTGGACCGAGGCAAAGCTTCCTCTCCCCTCTCCTAACCCTAACACCTTGCACTGAGGCCGGGGGGCTCAGATCCCACCAGCCAAGCCACCTCCCAGCCTGGAAGGTAAGCAGCTAGATATAGGGCTGATCCAATGCACAGTATTTTTAGCTCACTTGCAAACAGCTTTTTGCAGCCCCGGGAGAGCTCGTAACAAGAGAATGAAATAAAAGAGAGACGGTGGCTATTTCTAGCAGCGTTTTTCATCAGGTCACTAGGAAAGGCTTTGGAGAGCTGGAATGAAGCTTTGTGCCCAGCTTTTCCTGGGCCACGGGTAGTAATACAGCTCTGCGGGTACACCGGACAAAGGGGACTTTGGAGCAGCCAGAGAGCGCGGTGAGGCCACACTGACTTAGGGCCCATGGGCTGGGCCCATCCATTCAGACCAAGGTGGCTGGTGGGGCTGCCAAGAGACGGCTGTGATTTCCCACTACAGACAAAACCGCACACCTAAACTTTGATGCTACCCATCTGCCTCGCAGGGACTGCCAGCAGGCAGGAGGGACCAGCCAGCGAGTGCACGGGATCAGAGACGAGCCATCTTGCAGACGAGGTGACATGTTCAGCTCCCCAAGAGTCACTGCTCTAAACACACACAGACACCCCACTGCACCTCAGGGGAAAGGTCCTGCTGGGGGATGTCTCATCCCTGCAAAGATGCATCCTGTGAGGCTGCACCAGGAGGGCACCGTCCTTCTCACAAGGTGCTCTGAAACCTCAAGATCTAACCTGACAGGTTTTCAGGCATGATCTATAAAACTCTCCATGCATGGGGCAAACAGAATTGGAAGCAAATAAGAAACTACACATCGACACGTACTTTATCTCCGATGGTAATGAATGCTCTGGAATCCAAGTTCCTCGGGGGCCTGAAAGAAAAAAGAGAGAGTCAGGAGAAAGCCCAGCTTCATTAACCAGAGGCAGGTTTCATGTTCCTTCAAGGACTTTCAGCCGCATCTTTCCACCATGCCTTGTTGTCGTGGGTTCAAACCAGCTCCCTCCAAACGCTCACAAATGCTTTCATCGTGCCAGTAACATCTCAACCCACACCCACGAGGCACTCGCTGCACGCAGGCAGCGAGAACCCCAGAGAGTCAGCTAGGTGAGACACGCATCAAAGCAACAGGCTACGAGACCATCCCTGCTCAGGAGATGAGCCCGAGGAACCGAGAGCGACGGGCTGAGACGTTTCTGTGGCACAGCAGCTCAGCTGTCATGTTTTGACAGGCAGGTGTTGTCACAGGACAGCCACGTAGCCCAAAACGCATGCCGAGAGAACAACAGGTAATTCCTCACCCGTGAGTCATTTGTGTACACTCGCAGGCCTGTTTCAGGCAGCGTGGCAGGCAGAGCAGGCAGTACTTCAGTGTCACGCTTTGCACAATATCACGCAGGCAAAGGCAAAGTCTTCCTTTGTGGCTTTTTTCCTCATTGCTGCCCACTTCCCATTACAGGCAGCATGGTACTTTTAGAGCGTTTTGTCCCTCGTGCCTCGCTTCTCTGCTCTCCCCATCCCCTGACACCTTCTAAGAGTGGAGATTGCCCAACTGGTTTAGCTTCTCAATTGCCTTTAGAGCAATAAGGCAACCTCCAGCTTCAAGGAAGTACTTCAGGCTCACAGCAAAAGCCTTGCACTATGCAAATATTTGCACTGCAGCTCGAAAAGCACAGAGAAAAGGAGTTGTAGATAGCTTGCACCAGCCTCTGGGCACACAAGCACCCTGCAAATTCCATCCTGACGCCTTCTCCAGGGGAAATTCAAACACCCATAGGAGCAGAGACAGATGCACCCACAGGGGAAGGAGGTGGCTGTTGCATGCAGGGCTCGGCACATGCATGCTAGGCTGCACAGCATTAATGGGGGAGTTCCCCTGGCTCCAGCAGATCTGCCCTATCTACCTGGGGGTTTCGGTAGTGGTATTTCCCCTTTGGGGATTTCACTGCTCTCCTGGAGCTGGGAGAGTCTCTAGAAAAGGTTTCTGGAGCAAACAAGGCTCAGTGGTGGAGATGCAGCCCAAGGTGTTTTGGAAGAGCACCACAGAAAAGGAATTTAAGCTGTCTGCTCTTTGTCAAATCAAGCACTGCTACCCTGGGCTCTCCCCCACAGCATAACAAGCATGAGCCACACAAACAGGGCAGAGAGAAATTCCAGTGCCCCAAGATATAGCTGGGCACCAGCCCCCAGCACCAAGTGATGCCCAGCACAGCAACAAGACATCCATGTCCTCCTCGCAGCAAGACAGGGAGATGCAAACAACACAAACTAGCCCTGACGCACATGTCAAGGGGAGGGTGTCCTGCCATGCAGAGCATCCCCCCAACCCTCACCCCCCTGCTGCTGCCATGGTCCAGCTGCTACCACCTCTTCTGAACTCCCTGAACTAAGACCCTTTCCCTCTTCTTCCCTCGGGCAGATTTGTTCTCTCCACCATGCCTTTGCCCTTTGGTATTGGCACTGCCATGGCAGGAAGGCTGAAGAAAGTTTCCAAGCCATCTCCTAGCCTTTGCCTTTCAGCCATTTCAAGTCACACAGGCGCCTCCCAGAGAGACACACACTGTGTATCTGTGTGCATACATGTGTAGTTCCTTCTCATCACCTGCAAGCCAGAGCTTAAGAGAAAAAAATGAACTATCCTGATTCTGTAAAGTCTACATGGGCCATTCCCCTTGACACAGTGTTGAATCCAGCTCTGAAGAACCACCGTCTGGCTTTAAGCAACAGACACACTTACGTTGTGTTGGCAACGGGCTGTTTGATGGGGACGCATGTTATCCTCAGTTCCCGTTTCTTCTTGCTTTTCACTGGAAGAGAATATGCACATGTTAGCAACTGGCATTTTTACTTTTCTTCCTTCGAGCATCCTCCCGCCTCCAGCCACCAGGTAGGAGAGGCAGGGCCTGGATCCCCTAACACTCTGCAGCCCCAGCAAGATGACAAGGTCACAGTGCTCACGACCATTTGCCCAAAATTTCAGGCAAGAGCCAGAAGCACAAGTGAGTCTCAATGTTGAGCACCTGCCTGCAGAAATACCTAGGGGTGCACTGACAGAGACCATTTTCAAAGTCTCACAGCCAAGCACTGTCTTGCAGTGCTCCTTGGACACCCCAAAAGTGCTCTTTACACTTCATGGCCATTAGCAGTCCCCTGACTTTGGGGATTTTAACTGCTCATGTTCAGGAGATGGGTTAAGGCTGCCATTTCTGCTGGGTGCTTACCCGGTTTGTGCGGCTCCAAGGATCCTTTGGAATCTGAAAGAGAGAAGGGAGACACCAGCTCAGCCTTCATGGTCCAGACCTGCTGGGTACCCACCCCACATCCCTCACGGACCCACGCACAGCCCAAGGAGAGCTCTCCCTGCTGCTCTGCAGGCAGAGACACACAGACACAGGCTGCCAGAGCCCAGCCCAGCAAAGCCTGGCCTGATCCCCGTTTCTCCAGCCACAAGAGGTCCCCACGCCATTAGTGATGCACAGGGCTCCCGAAAACACTCCCTTGTCCAGCTCCTCCTTGCCCCACAGCCCCCACTCAGATCTTCCTGGGACGAGGCAGACCCACTCTGCAGTTTGGGACGGAGCTGGCACAGAGGACGACAGCCACGAGACCTCAAGCAAAACCAAGGAGTCACTCCCAGCAGGAGAGGGAACACCCCACACCCAACAAAGGGAAACCAGGGCAAAACCAGAACCGAGTATAAAAGCCAGTAGCAAACCAGCCACAAATCCAGGCTTGCAGAGGCTGAGACCCTGCCAGACAAGGCATGACCCCATCAGGAGTGACTGGCAAGAGGATACTCTCTTCCCCCTCCTCCCCAACTCCAAACAGCGCTGAGATAACATAACCCACTGCTGTAGAGGGCAAAGGGGTTCAGGGCAGGCCAAACACTTGCAGATGAAACTGCAGGGATGAGAAATAACCAGCATGGGGCTCTAGCTGGCAGCAATGGGCAGAAGAGACCTGTACAGGGCTGAGAAGGAGCTCTCGGTAGTGTCACGAACCCCAGGCTGTTCACTGAAGCCCCAGCCACTCTTTCATCAGCAAACAGCTCACCCACCTACCCCAGCTCGCTGGGAAAATAAACAGACCATAAGGAACTGGGATGGGGGCTGAAGTGATACAGCTGAGAGCATCCAAGTCCTGATCCCCCCCCAAAAGAGACAAAGGGGCAGCTGTGCTTTGCAGCTAAAGATGCTTCTGGCTGCACAGACCTGGAAAACGCATTAAAAAGCAGGAACAAAGAGGTGTGATCCAGGCACTGGGCTGGAAGCAGACAGCTCGGAGTGGACTTGGACAGCCCTTGAAAAAAGGTTCCTACCTGTCTGGCTCCTGGGAACAGGCTGGTGGACAAAGTCCAGCACTCCCAAGGCTGCCAGGGAAGGAAGGGGAGAGGCGAGGAGCTGGGATTTCAGCAGGAGATGCAGCACTGCGCGAGAGCTCCCGCAGCAGCAGCGAGACAGAAGGATGATACATGTCCAGCATGTTCCCAGAACACGTCCACCATCAGCTCCACATGCCTCAGCCAAGATGGGTGCCCAAAACCCACTTTTCCAGTCCCGTCCTTCCCCAGAGGCAAACCTCGCTGAGGCTGCAGGTGGAAGCTGGACTGCAAGATACTGCAAAAGTTGCAGCAGCATCCCTCCCTGCTGAGGGAATCGGCACAGATCAGTCCATATCCCCATCTTATCTGCCACCTTTCCTGCATCAGAGCCAGCCCATAAAGTCTGGGAATAGCACAGTTTCCGTGCGGGAGCGATGTGAACTTCCAGCTCAACAAAACCAGCCAGCGAGCTGCTCCAAACTGATCCTGCTTGGCTGGAAACCAGCTCTGAAGACCTGACCACATCATGGCAATCACAGCTTCTAATTCGTGACCCTGCAAAGTTTCCCTTCCCCACCGCCCACCCAGCAGGGTTGGAAGGAGGACTAGCCCAGCGTGCCCCCTGATGATACTGTGCAAAATACCTGGTTGGGCAACGATGGGAGCAAACGCAAAATGAAGCCAAAGGAAAAATGCCATCCATGGATACCCACACCCAGCCTCTTGTTATTCAGCGAGGGGGGCCGACCACAGAACCTAAAAGCTGTGGTCCCCAGAGTCCTTCTGCAGCCAGGCAGGTTGCGGAGCTCACCGTGGGCACACATCCCACCCAACCCAGGGGGATGGATTTAGCTCGCTGCTGACCGGGCGCCTTGCCCCAAGCATTTCTCCCCCCCACCAGCGACCTGCTCCAAAACGCAGACAGCAGTTTGCACGCAGCCCCCCCAGGCAGTTACCAACCAGACCTCTACACGAAGCCCCGAAATGCCCCCCCAATCCAGTTGGTATTTTGCTTAATCCGTTTGCCCTCCCTCTCCCCAATTGCCATAGTAACCCCACACAGCCGGCACAAAGCGCCTTCTGTGCCGCCGGCTCCCCTGGCAGCGCCGGCCGAAGCGCGGTGACTCACGGGGCAGGAGCAGGGTCCACACTCTCCCCGAGCCAGGCGTCCCAAAGGCTGTGGCGTCAGCCCTTCCTCAGCCCTGGCTGCAGGAGTGAGGCCGGAGGGAGCTGGGAGCACCCAGTCTGGGGTTGGGAATCAATGGGGCGCGTTGTTCGGTGAAGCCCAAGCTCGCAGGCGGGTGGATTTGCAAGCATGGGTTAGAGGGGCAGCAAGGGACACAGAAATTCCCTGTTACAAACCCCCTGCACCGTACAGGAGAGTCATTTAATACCTCTGTGCCTTGGCCATCACCCACGAACTCAGCTGTAACAGAAGCCCTGCATTTCCCCGTACCCCCAAACTGCTGCCCTTGACTTCCCAGCGTTGTACCACCAGGCTCAGCAACAATCCCCTTCCCACCCTGTCCTGCCTAGCCCCAAAAAGCATTTCCTAGCTCCAACCTGAAAAAGCACTGATTAAACCGGAGGTATTCTGCCACCACTCCCAGACTCTGGCTGGGCCACCTACGCCGGTGGAAAACCCAGCTCAGCCCATGCCTGCAGAAATAAAATCATCCGCGATGCCGCCTTGCAGCCGGGGGAGCTGAGGCGGAGATTGGATTCGCCTGTTACAGCTCTCCCAAAATTTGCTATGATCTTTCCAGCATGCTTCGGGCTGGCCCAAAATCCTGCTCCTTGCTGCAAGCAACTCCCGCTGCTGGTGGCAAGGGTGTGGGTCCAGCCGGGCAGAGGTGGAGTGGGCAGACACCACTTCCCCTCGAGTGCAGCCCGGAAAAAAAAAAAAAAAAAAAAAAAAAGGAAAAAAAAAAAGAGGAAAAAAAAAAAAGAGACAAGCAGTCCTGAAGGTCTGCACAGCCAGCTCTGAGCAGGCTCCCAGTATGGGAGATGGGGACACAGTCTCCCCACAACTGTGCTACCCAACAGTTGCCCCCCAAGCGCCCCGGCGCTGCCTGCTACAAGCCCCAGAGCTGGATGTGTCACCTCCGGGAGGTGACCTTGATCCTGACCCTCTGCAGCCCCCCAGGGAAAGCCCACACACTGTTTCAGGGTGAACGAGGGTGGAGAAAGGACTGGTGGGGGGAGGAAAATAAAATGGGAAGAACAAAAAGGCAGTGGGATGGGCATGACAAGACCTTGCAATTCAAGCCCTTCTGTCCCAAGTACCTCCCAGGGCAGCATTTGCTTTTAGCCCCCGCAGGCAGCTGCTCTCAGCTCCTTCTCACCAGCGAGGCCTCAGCACCATCTGCCCCACGTTTGGGATCCCAGCAGGGCCAGTGCAGGAGGAATTGCTATAACATGAAGAACATTTTATGTCACCTGAAAATCCCAGAATTGCTAGTTTCCCAGGGCACTGGGCTCTTGCAAGAGGGGTGGCTGTAAGCACAAAATAACACAGCTCCCTTCCAGAGAGCCCCTTCCACGTGGGCAAAAAGGCAGCAGTGGGACAAGAATTTGGGGACACATCCCGGTTGCCCCCCGCGAGCCCCAGGGCTCTGCTGCCAGCCCCGAGCCCGCGGGACGGCCGGGCACTGCCGGTGCTGCTCCGGGCAGCGGAAGGGGCTGTCGGCCGCGGGGGCACATGGCACAGTGCCTTGCACCCGGGCAGGGGAAAATTAGCTGACAGAAGTTCCTGGTGCGGATGAGATTGTAACCCACGTGATGCTGCAGGCACGTAACTGCATCCTTTATGCTAAGAAAGGAACCATTTCCTCCTTAAAAAAAAAAAAAAAAAAGCCTTTTTTTTTTTTCTCTCATGCTATAACCTCCACCGGCTAAGAACTGACACAGACATTTCCTGGAACTGCTTAATTCAACATCTGAATCCTCATCTTCCCCACCACCGGCTCCAGTCCTATTAAGCTGCACCTCTCCCTGGGAGGTTTATCCTTCCCACTCCACTGGTGTGGGTGGAGAGAAATGAATAGGACAATCTAAAGAACTGCAAATAAAACTATTTGCCTGAGCCGACCTTTGAAATTAAACCTCTCCACTGCCTTCCCAAGGCTCTGGTTCCAGGCCCAGGTGAAGTCCTGGGGATGGCTGCGGCACAGGAGAGTTCTTCCAGAGCCATGGCACTTTATTAGAGCTAGGGAAAACATTTTGGATGCATCCTGATTCTCCTTGATCCAAGGAGAGTCAAATGCCATGGATGGGGCAGAAGGCTGGAGAGTGGATCCCAGCCGTGCTGCAAAGAAAGAGGTTGAACAAAAAAGCATCAAGGAAAAAAAAAAAAAAAAAAAAAAAAGACAGAAAAATTAGGGGCAGGGTGCAAAGCAGAGAGGGGAATTTGGTTGCTTTGATCATGAGAGCCAGCTCCTCACAGGCACACTTTGTGCTATTTTCCACTGTTGAGAGTGGAAAAAAACTATCTGTGGAAGTGGAAAAAGGGCTCTCAACCTGCCGAAAGCCGTCACTCATCGGCCCACTGAGGTCCTGCTGCAGAGAGAGGCTCCTGCGGGTCATTGCTGCCCCGCGCTCGCCACTTCTGCAAAAAAAAAAAAAAAAAAAAAAAAAAAAAAAGGCAAGCGAGGAGGAGGAAAAAAACATGCTTCAGAAAAAGCCCCTTGCAGCCCCAAAACAACCTGTCAGCCTGTGCTGAATCAGAGCTCCTGACTGCCGTGGCTGCCCGCCTTTCCAACGCAACAGGCTTTTTAGCAGGGGACAACCACGCAAGAGCTGCTGGAAAACCCTGCATCCCAGGAATGCAACCAAAACCGGAGCCAGGAGCTAGCTTTACCCATCGAATATTTTCCTTTAGCCATGCAAGATTTTTTTTTTTTTTTTTTTTACAATTAAGATGCCAGTGTTTCA